ATTTCAATACTCCACTTTGAACAGGAAATAGATCATCCAGAAAGAAAATCAATAAGTAAACACAGAACTTGAAGTACACTTTAGATCAAGTGGAACTCACAGACATATACAGAACATTTTATCCACCAGCAGCAGAATACACATTCTTCTCAAGCACCTGTGGAGCATTCTTTAGGATATATTATATGCTAGGTCACAAAAAATGTCTTAACAAATTAAAGAAGATTAAAATCTTATCAAGTATCTTTTCTGACCACAATGGTATGTAACTAGAAATTAATAACAGGAAGAAAGCTGGAAAACTAACAAATAATGTGGAAACTAAAAAACACACTTCTGAACAACCAGTGGGCCAAAGAAGAAATCAAAAGGGAAATCAGAAAATATCTTGAAACAAATAAAAATGGAAACATGACATACCACACTTACAGGATGCAGCAAAAGCTGTTTTAATAGGGAATTTTATAGCAATATACTCCTATATTAAGAAAAAAGAAAAACCTCAAGTGAACAACTAACTTTACTTCAAGGAACTAGAAAAAGGACAAACTATTCCCAAAGTTAGCAGAAGAAAGGAAATAGCAAAGATCAGAGCAGAAATAAATAAAATAGAGACTAGCAAAATGATAGAAAAAAATCAATGAAAGTAAGAACTCGTTTCTGGAAAAAATTAAGAAAATTGACAAACCTTTAGCTGGACTAAGAAAAAAGAGAGAAGACTCAAATAAATAAAATCAGAAATGAAAGAGGAGACATTACAACTGACACTTCAAAAACATAAAGGATCATAGAAGACTACTATGAATAATTACAAGCCAACAAATTAAATAGCCTAGGAGAAATGTATAGATTCCTAGACATATATAACCTATCAAGACTGAATCATGGGGCACCTGGGTGGCTCAGTGGGTTAAGCCTCTGCCTTCAGCTGAGGTCATGGTCTCAGGGTTCTGGGATCAAGCCCCACACTGGGTTCTCTGCCTAGCAGGGAGTCTGCTTCCCCCACGCTCTCTCTCTGCCTGCCTCTCTGCCTACTTGTGATCTCTCTCTCAAATAAATAAATATTTTTTTTAAAAGACTGAGTCATGAAGAAATACAAAATTTGAAAAGACCAATAATGAGTCAGGAGATTGAATCACTAATCAAAAAATCTCCCAATAAAGAAAATCCCAGGACTATGGTGGCTTCATTGGTGAATTCTGCCAAACATTTAAAGAATAATTAATGCCAATCCCTCTCAAAAGCTTCCAAAAACTGAAGAAGAGAAAACACTTTTAAATGCATTTTATGAGGCCAGCACTATCCTGCTACCAAAGCCAGAAACAGACATACAAGAAAAGGAAATTACAGGCCAATATCCCTGATGAACACTGATACAAAAATTCTCAACAAAATACTAGTAAACCAAATTTAACAGCATTTTAAAAGGATCATACGCCAAGATCAAATGGAATTTATCCCTGGGATGCAAGGATGGTTCGATATACACATATCAATAAACGTGATACACATTAACAAAATGAAGGATAAAAATTGTAAGATCACAGCTATAGAGGCAGAAAAAACATCTGACAAAATTTAACATAGTTCCATGATAAAAACTCTCAACAAACTAGGTATAGAAGGAATGTGGCTCAACACAGTAAGGGCCATATATGAGAAGCTCCCAGCTCACATCATTCTCAGAGGTAGAAAGTTGAAGGCTCTTCCTCAGAAATCAGGAACAAGATATGGGTGTCTTGCCTCTTTTATTCAGTATAGAGCTGGAGATCTTAGCTAGAGCAATTAACCAAGAAAAGGAAATAGAAAGCGTCTAAAATGGAAAAGAAGCAAAACTTTCTGCACATGAAAGATCTTATATATAGAAAACCCTAAAAACTCCACCAAAAAAATAGTTAGAACTAATCAATAAATTCAGTAAAGCTGCAGGATAAACAACATACAGAAATCAGTTGCATTTCTATACACAAAAAATGAACTATCTGAAAGAGAAATTAAGAAAACAATCCCATTTGGAAGAGCATCAGAAACAATAATATATTTAGGAAAATACTTAATCAAGGACGTGAAAGATTAATGCACTGAAAACTGATGAAAGAAACTGAAGACACAAATAAATGGAAAGGAATCTTTTGTTCTTGGATTGAAAGAATCAATATTGTTGTTTTTTTAATATTTTATTCATTTATTTGAGAGATCACAAGTAGGAAGAGAGGCAGGCAGGTGGCAGGGGTGGAGGTGGGGGGAGCAGGCTCCCTGCTGAGCAGAGAGCCCAATGCAGGACTTGATCCCAGGACCCTGAGATCATGACCTGAGCTGAAGGTAGAGGCTTAACCCACTGAGCCACCCAGGCGCCCCAAGAATCAATATTGGGTTTTTATTTTATTTTTTTAAGATTTTATTTATTTATTTGACAGAGAGAGAAATCACAAGTAGGCAGAGAGGCAGGCAGAGAGAGAGGCGAGGGAAGCAGGCTCCCCGCTGAACAGAGCACCAGATGAGGGCCATCACAGGACCCTGAGATCATGACCCAAGTTGAAGGCAGTGGCTCAACCCACTGAGCCACCCAGGAGCCCCAAGAATCAATATTGTTAAAATGTCCATACTATGCAGTGATCTATACAGTTAGTGCAATATCCACCAAAATTCCAATGAAATTGGAATTCCAATGGAATTTTTCACAGAAATAGAAAAAACAATCCTAAAATTCAGATGGAACCACAAAAGAGCCAAAGCAATCTTGGTTAAAAAAAAAAAAAAAGAAGAACAACAATGCTCGAAGCATCACACACTTGATTTCAAACTATATTCCAAAGTTATAGTAATTAAAACAATATAGTACTGGCATAAAAATTATATAGATCAATGAAACAGAATAGAGGGCCCAGAAATAAATCCTACAATACATAGTCAACCAATCTCTTACCAGGAGGCAAAGAACACAAAATGGGGAATAATCTCTTCAATAAGTAGTATTGGGGAAACTGGATATCCACATGAAAAAGAATGAAATTGGAGTACTATATATACCACTCATAAAAGTTTACTCAAAGGGACGCCTGGGTGGCTCAGTTGGTTAAGCAGCTGCCTTCGGCTCAGGTCATGATCCCAGTGTCCTGGGATCGAGTCCCACATCGGGCTCCTTGCTCAGCAGGGAGCCTGCTTCTCCCTCTGCCTCTGCCTGCCATTCTTGCTCTGTCTGCCTGTGCTTGCTCTCTCTCCCTCTCTCTCTCTCTGACAAATAAATAAATAAAATCTTTAAAAAAAAAAAGTTTACTCAAAACAGATTAAACACTTAAACATAAAAGCAGAAACTGTAAAACACATAGGCAAAAACAGGGAAAAATCTCTTTGACATTGGTCCTGACATTATTTTTTGGATATGACACCAAAAGGAAAGGCAACAAAAGCAAAAATAAACAAGAAGGACCCCATCAAATTAAAAAGTTCTGCACAGCAAAGGAATCAATCAACAACATGGAAAAGGTAATCATGGGATAACTTAACAGATAACTATGTATCTGTTAAGGGGTTAATATACAAATATATAAGGAACTCATACAACTCAGTAGCCCCAAAAAATAGGATTAAAAAATGAACAAAGGACCTGAATAGACATTTTCCCAGGAAAGACATACAAATGGCCAAAAAGCATGTGAAAAAGCACTCGACGTCCCTAATCACCAGGGAAATGCAAATCAATAACACGGTGAGATATTAACTCACACCTGCTAGGATGGCTATTATCAAAAAGACAAGAGATGACAATTGTTGGGCAGGATGTAGAGAAAAGGAAACTTTTGTATGCCATTGGTGGGAATTTAAGTTGGTACAGCTATTATGAGAAACAGAATGGAGATTCCTAAAAAAACTAAATATAGAACTACCGTATGATCCTACAATCCCACGTCTGAGCATAGAGCCAAAGGAAATGGAATCAGTATCTTGTTATCCGCAATCTCATGTTCGTTCCAGCATTATTCACAATAGTCAAGATATGGAAACATTCTAAGTACCTAGTGTTATGTGAATGGATAAAGAAAATGTGTGATACATATACCATGTATATACACACATCTATGTACACATATATGTGTGTGAAATGGAATATTAGTCAATACAAAAAAGAAGAAAATCCTGCCACTTGAGACAACATGGATGAACCTAGAAGACATTATACTAAGTGGGTTAAGACAGAGAAAGACTACTCTCACTTAAAAAAAAAAAAAAAGGTTGAATACATGGAGACAGAGAGTAGAATGGTGGTTCCCAGGGACTGGGGTAGGAAAAATGAGGAGATGTTGGTCAAAGGACACTAATTTTCAGTTATAAGATGAATAAATAAGTTATGGGGACCTAACATAGAATATGGTGACTATAGACAATAACACTATATTGCATATTTAAAATTTGTTAACACAGTAGGTCTGAGGCATTCTCACTACAAAACAACAGCAAACCAATTGTGTAAGACTGATGGTTCACAGACCTGTACTCTTGAAGCAAATAATACATTATATGTTAATTAAAAAAAAAACCAAACTCCAATAACTGAAAAGCCAGGCAGGTGACATAAATGTGCAAAGTCAGTTGGAGGCACACTGTGATTAAAACAAAACAAGGGTGCCTGGGTGGCTCAGTGTGTTAAGCCTCTGCCTTCAGCTTGGGTCATGATCTCAGGGTCCTGGGATCGAGGCCCACGTCGGGCTCTCTGCTCAGCAGGGAGCTTGCTTCCCCTCTCTTTCTGCCTGCCTCTCTGCCTACTATGATCTCTCTCTGTCAAATAAATAAATAAATAATCTTTAAAAACAAACAAACAAAACAAAACCAGCAAACCTTCAGTGCCTGCATTATCCAATGATGTGTATAATTACTAAGACTTAGAGGCACAACTACTGGGAATACCATCTCAAGGCCATACTTTCCTATAAATTAGTATTCCTAAATCATTTTTTCATACATCAACTTCAGATTCTGTGTGCTTTTCCTGATATCATTACCTGAATTGCTGGTCTAGTTTTTCAGCCACAAGATCTTGTCTCTCTTTTTCTTTCTTCTCTTTCAATAATCTGGTTTTATCTCTCATTCTATCTTTTTTCTCCTTAATTGTTTCTTCTTTCAACTGCATTTCAGTTAAATACCCACTTTCTTCTGATGCTAAAAGTTCACGTAGCCTGAAAATAATTACAAAAAAATTAAAACTGTTATGCCACATGGACCATTTTACTGTTTTTTATTTACTTTTATTTATTTAATTAGCACATGTTTATTTTTTAAAAAGATTTTATTTATTTGAGAGAGAGTGCGAACACATGTGCATGGGCGTGGTGGAGGGGGCGCAAAGGGAGAAGCAGATTTTCTACTGAGTGGGGAGCCAGACCCAGTTGGGGTGGTGTGGAACGCAGGCTCAATCCCAGGATGCTTAGATCATGACCTGAGCCAAAGGCAGACACTTAACTGACTGAGGTATCCAGGTGCCCCCAAAGAACATGTTTAATCATAAATTTTGCAAGGAAAAAAAAAAATCACTGCAGTCTTCTATAAAATAAGACTAGTCCTCATTTAAAGCAACAGAAACTGATGTGCCATATTTTATTTGATTTCATACAAATTAGAGAATGTACATCTTCAGCAAAAGAATATGAACAGATTTTAAATAAAGTAACAAAATATTAAACAATATATTCTTTAGCTTTCTATCAAATGTGGGTTATCACAAGTGAAAATACAAACAAACAGTAGCTCCTGATTTGGTAAGGGTATGAATATCTTGGCTATGATCCTTAATATAAAAATTCACTTGATTTTTGGTCAATCTCACATCAGGATCTTGGGAATGTTTTATAGTCTGAAGCACCAGTTTGTGAACCTTACTTATTTCGTCTTTCTTCAGTGTTGATGATGAAACCTTGCATGGCATCCTTGATTCTTGCTTTCACAAGACTGTCCACAAACTTGCGATCATTGTGCTGGTCCCACTCAACTTTCAAGCGATCTCTCTCCTTTGACTTAATAGAAGCCAAAATAGCATGACGTTTCTGATGGCTGCGTTGGATTCTTTCCAGTTGTTGCTCGGCCCCGTGAACTTTGGGAGGCTTGGCTCTCTGAAAACAAATAATTATCACTTACAATCGATCCAAAATCGATTGCATATTTTCAAGTAATCATAACCTCCACCAATACTAAATAACATTGGTTGTATCAAAGTAATACATCCTGCTACAACTGCAGATAGCTTAAGTGCCTAAGGTTTAACATGTTTGATTCTTTGAGCCTATACTTAAGATGTCATCAAATCAGTCACAAATATTTAAGTGCCATTTGAGTAAAAGTGCATGGAATTATAAAGTTTGAGCAGGACTCTAGTGATTATTTAGTCAAACTCAGAAACAGTAAGTGATTTGTCCAAGGTGCTTCCAATAGTCAGGGCGAAACTGTATAGAACAAAAATTAGAGGTCTTCTAATTCCTGACCTTCATCTTGCCCCCACATTGCTTCTCAGGGGTAGAAAACACAGTTACCATCAAAATACTTTCAACTAGAAGAGGCTACTCTCTCTAAGTATATAGGATACATACAATGAGCTGTGACAATTTAAAAAAACCCTATACTGAGAAGGAAGGGAGGGGGGTTGAAAGGGAAAAAAGGGAAAGGAAAAAGGAGAAAAAACTGATAGTAATGTTTTCTTCTTATTTTTCTTGTGCCCAATTTAATGCAAGGGCAGTACTCCTGACATTTTGGGGTAATTTGAATTTCTAAATTTTTTTATACAAACTTCCACTAAAAAGTTGGAAACACACAATTTTCAATACATATTAACACATTTAATAAAATCATGTGAACAGTCTTTCTCATTTCTGTATTCTTAGCATTGAAGAATAATGCCTTACCACTGTTGGTTCTCAGTGTGAAGGAAAGAAAGAGGGGAAGGGGGTAGAGAGGAAAGGAGGAAAGAAGGAAACATTTCTGGGTAGGCTTGACACAATTTCTACTCCTCCTGGGGCCATCATGAAATCCACGGTCTCGAGCTTTGTATTTCAGCCAATTTTATCAAGTCAACCTTAGGTGAATAGGGAGACTCCAGGATGCTGATTTACAAGTAATAAAATTCTTAACTCATATGGCAGAAAGTCAATCTGATAATTTACACTTCTAACATTATACTAACATCACTATCAGGATTACCAAAATACTAGTGTTAAGTCTTGGTAAAGTAGTCTTCTAGGAAAAGAAAATCAACATTTGCAGATAGCTTGATGAAAAGATTCAAGGTACACATACAGGTACTTTGAATTTTAGTTGAACAAGACAGGGCTGAGGTGGGTTGGAGACAGATGATGTCGAGGGTTATATGGTAGGTAGATAATCCGTATCATAACCATTTAGAGCCTAGAGCCACTTAATTAACAAACTACTATTCTCTAATATGTATGGCATTTTATGAATGATAATGAAGTGGAAAAGGGTCAACACTACACCTTGTTCAGGGTACACACAGGAATTCAGGTTCCCAGTAGACGTATGGGCTGAGAACCAAACACCAAGGTCATCAACTGTCTTGAGTTGTCAGAGCAGGAACCTGGTTCTGAGGTACATTTTGACTGAAAAGGTGAATGAGGGTAAAGGGTAGTGAGAAACACCCTGAGCAGTAGCCAGGGGTCAGGAGCCCCTTCAAAGTTTGGGGCATACTATACAGGACTCTGCGATCAGGAAAGAACAAGAGTCTGGAGGGGTAAAATATGAACTGGAGTTCTCTAATAACAAGGTGATACCAATCCATGCACAGTTTCAGTATTACTCAAAATTCACACTGACATGAATATAATGTAAAACAGATCCATACTTTAACTCTAGTAGCTGCATTGCAGAAAGTAAAAAGAAACAGGAAGTTAATTTTAATAATGTTTTATTTAACCAATATATTCAAAATATTGTCATTTCAACATGTGACTCTAGGCACATTTCAAGTGCTCAAAAGCCATGTATGGCTAGTGGCTACCATATTGGACACTGCAACTCTAAACCATGCTAAAGGCAGGAAAACATAGGATTTAATCACTACCTTGTGTTTCCAAGGTCACTGAAGGGTCACTGTAACATGTTAAATTACAGTTTCTAATGATCGAGTTTACAGTTTATACGTCTTAAAGAACAATGTTTTACGGTCTAGGTTTGATTCTGGCCTCTACCCATTACAACTATGTGATTTTAAACAAGGTACTTAATCTCTTTGAATCTCAGTTTTCTTACCTGTCAAAATGAGCAAAATAAATGTGCTCCTAAAAAAAACTATTTTAAGAATTAAATAACTGGGTCCCCAAGCAGCACTCACCATGTAACTGTTCCTTTACTTCAGACGTTACATCATTTATTGCTTTCTCCTGGAGAAATGCTTTAGCTTCAAGTCTCATCCCTGGTGGCTTTAATTCTTCCCCCACCGCAAGTGTGATCTCTAACATCCAAACTTCTTATCACACTCTGATTTCTGAGATACACAACACTGACTTTTCCCTTTTCCTCTTTATTCTTTTATAAGCTCAAAGTATTCAATTGGCCTGCTTCTCTGGTTCGGTGGAAATTTTTTTTTTTTTTCATGTTCTTATTGGTTCCTAACACAAGCAATGGCACAATAGCCCAGTCCCTGAGCTCTATGTTGGGATACAGAACCCAAAGTAGATCAGTTTCTGTCCCTCATGAAACCCTGAACTCTACAGTCTGTAGAGGCCTCCAATCAAATCCAATCTGGATTTTCAGACCCAGAATCTACAGTCCTTGGACCCAGAAAAGAGGGAGCTGGTCTGTAAGTGGACTGAGAACTGCTATGTGTACTGTGGTGCATAATAAAACCGCATCCTTCATTATTGCTGGTATTTCTGCCATAAAATACCATCACAGACAGTATAGCACATGATTATCTACCATGTTAGCCTTTAATGGTTTTATGCATGAACAAACTATTTCTGCAATTAGAGAATAAGCAACAGGAAGGCAGGGATCAGACTTTTAATGGAAAATAAACCTCTCAGTTTTTACCCCCATATCTCCCGAAGTGCTGTGGACACAGCAGGGGCTCAAATAATATCTCTATAATTGTCTAATTACACAGGAAGGCTTTCTAGCCTATAGAAACTAGCTTGTAGAAACAAAGGTATCTAGGTGCATAAACCAAGTGTCTAGGGTTCTGAGCAAGACCCATCACAAATTCTGCAGCACACAGCGTTCTCCTGGCCTCCTACCACCACCCCAGCCTTAGAGGCAACCAACCACCCTATTGCCAGGCCTGCAGGGACACTTTTGTTACAGCTGAGTTGGCACAGGAAGGGCAGTATAACTGCTCACAACCCCTCACAGCCCAATCCTCTTTCCTCATACGTTTTCCCTGGAATGCAGGACCAGCCCAAGATCATACAGCTGAATCACCAGCAGCCCAAACCCGATATCCTGCGCTGCCCGGGCCCAGCACCCTTTTTGTGACAGCCATGCCACATCACAAGGGGACAGACTTCTTTGGGAGTCTTGGGAGACTGAAAACTCTCAGCATCCCAAGTGGTGATTCTACAGATACAGAACCTAAATATAACTGGTGCGAGGTGGGAGTGGGGGGAGTGGAAAGTGGGGGGGGGGGTCGAGGAACAGAGTACAGGATCTAAGTGAATGGCCTTATCTTTCCTTCTTTCAAAATTCAACCCACTACACAAGGCACCTACTCCCCTTGAGAGAGCCACCGCTGGGCCAGGTTGGGCTCGGCTAGGCCCGGAGTGCTGGGAGATGCAGACAGCAGTAGGGTCCCGCACACACATCCCGCGCTTACCACGATCACCACTTTGGGAGTGGGGCCCTTAACCTCCCGCGGTACGATGCCAAATCGCTGGCTGTACATTTTCGATGGGGGGCGGCGTCCCCCGCGGTATCCCAACGGCGAAGACCTGCGGGACCCGCTTCCGCAGTGCAGAGGTCTGGTTGCCATGGTGCGCCCAGCAGGGTGAGGGGCAGGTGGGAGGGGCCGAAGTCGGTCCCATCACCATGGTGACCATAGACGCCGGTGCTCCCAACTTCCTCCCGGAGCCGAGGAGCTGAGTCTGCGCAGTCCTCACCCCGCCCTTCGCCATGCCTCCAGCGACCTCGCTCCCTTCCTCTAGGGTTCATCAGAATAGCAGAAATAAGCCTCCTTAACCTGAAGTGAAGGCGAAGATCTAAGTGCATACCAATTGACTTTGCTACTTATATCCTGTAATCAGCCTAAAAGCATGAGGAAAGTTAGTGGATATTCTGTGGGAAGGTTAAATTTTGTGGGCATCTCTAGATAAATCTTGATGATAATATATAATCATCACAGGACAACCACCCTACACTTGTGTAGTTCTTTACGGTACTTGCAAGGTATTTTCACACATAAAACCTTTGGGCCTCACAACTATCTTAGAGCGTTGATGGAACAGCAGGTATTCTCATCTTCCAGCTAAGACAAGGCCTAGAGAGCCTGTCTTGTCAGCCCACCCAAACCAGTAATGATAAATTTGTTAGTAATAAGATCTTCCTGTTGCACTGGGCAGAAACCAGAGCTGACTCGGGGCACCCCAGGATGTGGGACAAATCAGATGAGCTAAGAGGGCAATGGCATGACCTGGCTGGGCAAAATAAAGACCAAGAGTCTGAGGTACCGTTCACAGGAAACCAGGGTCAGGGCATGGATGGGAAGCGCAGGTAATGAGGCCCTAAGAATCCGTATCTGAGGAGGGGAACAGGCAACACAGCTCCAGGAACCTAGAAAGAGCCTTAGGCACAGGTGGAGCCAGGGCTGTACTTCTGGTCAAGAGCAGGGTGGTAGTAACTAAAAGCCAATTAAGAATGACGCTCTGGTACTCTCCTTCTCAAGTGCAGCGAGCAGCACAGAACACTGGACCACAGAAAAAAATCAGAACCTAGTCAGTCACTGACATCTAACAATAACCAAAGTACAACTACTGTGTATACCGTCGTAAGGCCGCAATTTACTGTAAATTAGCGTTCCTTAATCATTTGTAATCCACCCACTTCGGATTTTGTATGCGGTACGTTTCTAGATTTGGATTCCATTTCCTGAAATGCTGGTTCAGCTTTTCAGCCACAAAATAATGTCTCTTTTTTCTTTTTATAATCTCTTTTAATAATTCTCATTTTGTCTTTTTTTTTTTTTTTT